TTCCAGTGGAAAGATGGGCAGTGGCGGCTGATGGAGCTGTTGGCCGAGCATGATTTACCGATAACTGGTCTTGACTGGGCTCCGAAAACCAACCGTATTGTTTCTTGTGCTCAGGTATCTTCAATTAAACCCAAATCTCGATAAATTAAGCTCAGATGGCCACTGCTGAGTTGTTTAGTTGCTGTTTCATCGTTATGTTTCTTCGTACATTCGATCCAGCAGTGTTCCCCTTCTGTTCTAAGTAATATATTTTTAGTTCGGTCCAAAAGACTAATAGGCTTGCGTAATTTCGCCGGAAAATCCGCCTTCTTTGCGTTTTTTCTGACATTTTTGCCAAGCGCAGCTGTTTTTTGCTTCGCACTAGCCTCACTAATACGAAGAAAACATGATCACTTCAGGAGCATCATAAGATTCCCAGTCAAAAAGAGTATCGCTGCCAACGTCTGGCCACGGTCTTCGGAATTTATAGAGCCATCCTGCTCTGATTTTGCAAACCATTTGTAACACTTCCTCGATTTTCTAACTTATAATGTAGGAGTTTTCGTAGGATAAGAATGCATTTGTTTGGACATTCGATGGGTCTCACTGGAAGCCCGAACTTGTCATTTTGCGGATGCATCGAGCGGCAACATGCATAAAATGGTCTCCATATGGTTTGTATTAGCACTTTGAAACTTTAAAACAAGTTTTGTAATAAAATTGCATCATAAATGTTGCAAATTTCATGAATCAGTCCGTTGATTCTGCATCTGTTTGTGGCAAAAAGTATGGATAATGAATTGTGCCTGAAAGAGCAGGATGGATAGCCTTTAGCATTTTCAAAACGCCCATTTCCATGCCTCTGTAAATTATGGAACTCAAGCATGGCTTACCAGTAAAACGAAGCTGAACAAGATAACAAGCATATTGCTCCAAGATCGCCAAAACCGTCAATTTGAAGAAATAATTTCACTGCAATTCACCTACATACCCGTCCCTGTCAGTACCATTCTTTGATGCAGAACTGCTCAAGCATTAACCTTATTCATCTCACACTGCCGATTATAAAAACTGTAATGTATAAATTAAAGGCAAATAAGGATTTTTTTCAGAATTTTTGGAATAGCTGTAATTCATAGCCCGGTTCCCCCAGTTTCTATTGCTGAGGAGCTTTTCATCCCGACACAGTCATTTTGACAAGGCTTCAGCCGTTTCAGGGATGTGTATTGAGCATTACCAGCTCGTCCTGAACGTTGCTACTTGTAGACCACCAGGAGGTGTTGTACCGTTTAGGAGAACCAGGACACAGAGGAGCAGAACAGCACGGACGGAGTGTTTTCCACCGATTTTTCTCTTTTTGAATGAATTCACATTCATACGAATTTTCCCTTGTATGCGAGTAAATTTATTAAAGAGAACAAATTTGCTGTTGGAAGTGGCTCGAAACTCGTGTCGGTGTGTTTCTATGAGAAGGAGGATGACTGGTGGATCTGTAAACAGATTAAGAAATCGATTCATTCCACTGTTTTGTGCATTGATTGGCATCCGAACAACGTCTTGCTTGCTGTCGGTGCATGCGATTTTAAGGTTTGTCACTTAGTTCGGAATATTACGTTCTTGTGGAGCAATTCCGCTTATTGCACTACAAGGAGTACTTTGTCTGTTGGGTTCTTTCATTCATCTGGTTCTGATGTTTTACTCTGTTTGCTCAAGGTATCCTGCCCACATCAATTATTTTTTCTCCTTTGTTAACCATGTGTGAGCAGCGAAACTTGCTTTTTTAATTTACTTTTGAGCTTTCATCAATTGTAAAAAGAAGATGATGTTTCGAGATGTTTTTAGGCTCGTGTTTTTTCTGCATACGTAAAAGAAGTGGACGAGAAGCCGTCGCCAAATCCGTGGGGTTCAAAGATGCCATTTGGTGCTTTGATGTGTGAGGTATTGCTTTAACAATATACTTTTTTCACAGAAGTTACGTAAAAACAGTTTTTAATTGATAAGGCCAGCAGCGAATGCGTTTCCTATCATCTTCAGTTAGACAAAACCTATAAACCACTGAAAAAACTTATTTTTTTGTTAAATTTTGTCTTGATGTTCGGAATTTTCATATTATCGTTTGTGTGATTGAAAAAATTCGCGTTTTTGGCCTTTCTCATTTTTCATTTCTGAGCTTCCCCCGTCTCTTCATCATTCTTCAACCTCTTAGTAGCCGAGCAGTGAGTAATTGAAAAAAAGACTGTTCCTTTTTTGAGTTATTTGCAGGTGAAATGTCCGGCTTGGGTTCATCACGTTGCATTTTCGCCATCCGGCTGTCGTATGGCGTACGTTTCACATGATTCAACAATTGCTGTCATCGACACAAATCGATCACTAAACGATGCAGTGATTTTGCATACAATATATCTTCCGTTCACTTCTGTTCGATGGGTCACCGAGAATAGCCTTATCGCAGCGGTAAGCTTTATTATTTCGGACAAAGTGAAAAAATCAAAAACCCTCTTCGTATTCACTTCCTACAAAAGGGGACGCACTCGGAAGTAGCCCTAGTAACGGTATGACCAACAGCAGTTACCCATTACCAAGATGGTCTACGGTTCCCTGTTTTGCGAGTTGCTTAGAATAAAAATTATGGCGGTGTTGGCTTTTTGGTAAGTGCCCAGTATCGATTTTCAAAAAGTTTGAATTTCACGCTTTTCAGGGTCACGATTATTCACCAATTTTGTTCATGTATTCGGAAGATCAGCTGAAGTTTGTAACAAAACTTGATGTTCCATCCGAGCATAAATCATCGAATATTAACTCTGCCATGCAAAAATTCCGGAACATCGATCGCAATGCGGCCGGCGAAGCTGTTGATGTCCGACTGAGGACACTGCATCAGAATGCCATAACGTCAGCACTTTTCTATTCTTATGATAAAAGGCCACATGGATAAGGTGCAGCGGTGATGCAGCTCTTTTGCTAAATTTGAAGGATTCAGTTGCGCCAATTGGGCAGCCACTCCTTTCATTCGTTTCGATGGCCATTTATTAGTCGGCGAACCATCGAAAAAAAGAACCACCGGCCGTTTTTGCCAGCGAGTGGTTGCTATTGGCACATAACGATTCCCACGATTCTGCTTTTGCTTCCGATAGGAAGTGAATGATGGAAGGGTTTCAGTTCTCTTTTTTTACAATGAGTGTTTTGCTATGAGCAGCACAGACCTTGTTTTGCTTTGATATATAGGCCATACGTTTTAATAATCTTATTAATTAATACTCGTTACATTAAGCCATTTTTACAATGTTTTACGGTACATTCATTAATATTGGATTCTTTTTTCTCCCACAGAATTTAAACGTTTGTTTTTTGCCGTTCAGGGAAATCCTGCCACACAGTGGTCGTTATGATAATGTGCAGAAGTTCAGTACTTGTGCAATCGATGGAGTGATCGCTTTATGGGACCTCAGAGTTGGTATTTTCCCCTGTATAATTTTGCTTTTTTAGCAAAAAAAAATTTCTTCATAAACGATCCTATTTTGCATTGTACTTATTTTCTGAAGAATGCTTAAAAAGCAGCATAAATTCCGAGTCTAGGCATATAACGGAAGTAGAGTTTCAGGCAGCAATTGAATTTTGTCAGGTAAAATTTTGAGGGAGTGATTTGATTTTGATAAATCATAACTGAAGTATAACCAGTTTCTGACAAACGAATCTACACTTCCTCCAAAAGTGTGCCTCTAATTTTGCATCCGATTTTTTTGAAATACAGAGTGCTACTGGTCTGAATCAATGCTGGGATGGACAGGACCATCCATACAGTTTGTGTGGGAATCTCCCGTTCGTGTAGTGTTGCTGGAATGCTCTTATACTCTCTCCAACTTTAACAATTCTTTGGCCAGATTTTATGGTTTTTTTTGGTGGAATTGTGCGTCTTCCAAATATGTTCTACGCCCTTCTTTTTAATTTCATCGAATAAATTTAAAAAGTTGTTCATTTCGTCCTCTCGAATTTGGTCACTAAGCCTTCTAATTAAAATATAAGTTTGTTTTTAATATTTAACTCCTCTT